GTTTAATTAAATGACTTTATCATTAATCTGGAAGTAAAAAGGATATTTGCTGTATCTCAATTAGTCAAAAAAATTACGTAAAACTTTACTAATCGAGGATTTTTAATTACATTTAAAATTATTAGAATTTCCAAATTAAAATTTAAATGAAAATACGCTGAAATAATCTTTTACATGTGCATCTTTTTCTGACAAATCATTTCTTTTTCCGAATATAAGAATGGGTCAGATATTTTTTTTTGCGATTTAACTGACGATAAAAATCAAAGAAATTAATCCTGTTCAATCTTCATGTTCCACTTTCGGTTTTACATACTTCTTATATCCATTACCGTTATAAAAGGAAGGACTCTAAATACAGCATCGAAATTTAATTAGAGCGAATTCTAAATTTATTTTGGAAGATAAGACTTGCCAATACTCTTCACCGAATCTATTACATCCTGGAACCGTTGAATTTTAGGATTGGATTAACTTCCGATAGTAATGTCTGGATTGGTGCATGGTGGATCGGTTTTCTGGCAGCGGCTGTCATATGCTTCATCATCGCGGTACCTGTCTTGGCATTTCCGGCAGTCTTACCCGGTATGACAATTCTTTCTAGATAAAATAATAATAATCATGAAACACAATTGAAGATTTAAAATAGATACTTTTAGTAAACGTATAAACGAATGAAACTCTATAAAGAAAATGCTTATGAATAGGTTCGGAGGAATTAGCCAAAGATAAGGTGTCAGAGGCACACGAGAAATCGACTCGATCTACCACCGCGGGAACGGGGGAAGCGTTCTCCAAGATACGAGAGCTACCACGCGCTTTGACCGAACTACTCGGAAATCCGGCATTTTTTATGTTGAACCTGGCAGGTGCCAGCGAAGGCTTGCTGATCGCCGGATTTGCTGCCTTCCTACCGAAACTGATTGAAAATCAATTTAGCGTCAGTGCCAGTTCGGCGGCGTTGCTAATGGGTGAATAATGTCACAATTCAAGTAATCTATCATAATACGTTCGGCATGAATTTTCGGAATCATTTCCATATTATGTAGATGATTCGATAGAAAAAAAGAACAATGCATAGTAAAGGAACGTTTAAACGCCAATTGATGAAACGAATGAATTTATTAATTATTGCTGTGCGGTTTATGCTAAAAAAACAGCATTTTTTTTTTTTCATTTTCAGGATTGGTGACTGTACCAGCAGGTGGCGGCGGTACTTTTCTCGGCGGTTATCTGATAAAACGGTTCAACTTGTCCTGTTCTGGTATTTTAAAATTTTGTTTGCTGGCTACATCCGCCTGCATCGCGTTTACACTGTGTTTCGCTCTGAATTGTCCGAACTTGGATTTCGCTGGATTGACCGTACCTTATCAAAACATCACAAGGTTTGTGACAATTGACAGATTTACGACGATAGATTAGCATATCGTTAATATATTGGCTCATTAAATTGCATCTATATCTATCACATAAAAAATATCATCTCATTATTACAGGAAGATCGCGTTATCTCTTGAAAACACTTGTAACAACGGCTGCGGATGCTCCAGATCGCAATTCGATCCTATATGCGGCGTGGATGGGGTCACATATTATTCGCCCTGTCATGCCGGATGTTACCGAGAAACACCGATAAACAATGTCAAGGTATAATTATATTTTTTAATATATTAAATATATCGTATGATAAATATTGTGAAAATAATGATAATAATGACAACAACATAATAATAATATAATATACAACATAATAATAATAATATAATATAATAATAATATAATATTAATATAATGATAATCGTATGCTAAATGTTATGACGTCCCTTTTCCTAGGTATATTCGGATTGTAGCTGTATACACGCACCGGCGATGAATTTAACAAGCGAAAATACTGGCAACATTGTCCAATACGAAGCTGTCAACACTACCTGCGGAAGCACGTGCTCATACCTGTGGCTGTTTATCATTCTGGCATTTTGCAACATGTTCATGACTTTCCTCTGCACGATGCCGGCACTTTCGTCCACACTGAGGGTCGTGCGCGACGATCAGAGATCCTTCGCTCTAGGCATACAATGGATCAAAGTTCGTATTTTGGGAACAATACCGGCACCCATGGTATTTGGCGCTCTTATAGACGATACGTGTATCTTATGGAACGAGACGTGCGATGGCAGAGGAGCGTGTCTCGTGTATGACAATTACTATATGAGCAGGTTGGCAAATTTTACACGTGATCGTGTCGAACGAGTTAATCTCAATGTTTTTGTGGTCTTTGAGGCACAAGTTCGTTAAATATGTATTTTTCAGGTATATGCTCGCGTTGGCATTTATCGGAAAGGCAGCCTCGCTTCTTTTCTTCTTCTTAGCATGGTGGACGTACGTTCCACCAGGTAGCAGAGGTATCGACCAGAATTCACGACAACAGACCACCGCTACTTTAATGCTAAGCGATACGTCTCAAGAGGTTGAGATCGTTCCGACTACAATAGCGTAATCTCGGATTGTTCCGTTTTTAGAACTGCTATTTTATAAAAATGGTAGAAAACTGCAATTTATACACACGAATAGATAGATACTTCGACATTCCTTTTTTAATGAGATTTTGCAAAATTTCAAAACGGGATGATTCGAGCTATGACGAGAATACATAAACAAATATCAAGATAGGATAAATGCGTATATGTCAATACACAGCATGAACGAAAAGTATATCATAAAAATCCCTTTTGCACATTAGGAAGATAAGTTTTTGATAGCCCTATAACTGAGATTCGGAAGTCAATCAGGGAGTGTTAAATGGATCTGGATAATCGTGCCAAAGAGCCTACAATACCCAAAAGTTTTTGCAATTTTTTTCAACTTTTTATAACAAACAAATCTTCGTGTGATGAACCTAGCATGAATCAAATATCCAGTTTGCGCAACTCCAAGCCCTAACGTAAATTTTTATAATCCTACATTTACTGATTGTCAATTAAATCGATCGATTAATCATATTATCTATGATGATAAATATCGATAGTACTTTATACTCAAAAATGTGATTTATGTAAATTTTGGAGATGGTTCTAGCGTCATATCAACGCCTTGTCGTGGTGATTGTCGTATACTATATTGCCGACTTGATATTAAACTTTCTGCGCCGTTTTCCGCTATAATTATTTTTACTAAACGAAAAACACCAGTATGTCTAGAGCACGTATTATACATGTCATCAATAAAAAGCTAATGAAGTATGTTACATATTGACCTTTATTCGTTTCGATATTTTTTAGAATTTTCGCTTTTTCTTTTTATAGAATACTCTCATTGAAATAAGATTTATAATTTTTTGTATTATAATTGATATTTAAATATTTATATTAAAACTGCATATTTTAGAAATATGTTAATCTTCAATTATTTTTTGCTACGCGTTTTATAAATAAAATAAATGTAACGTTAGTAACAGTTGATAAATCAGAAAACAAATTTGATGCACGTCGTTCAATATTTTTACATGATTAACAATTGCCAATAAAATCATTAATGATTTTTCCTGGAGCTCTGACAAAGTTTTGTATTTAATATATTTTAAAAACGATATTGTTAATTTGTTTTAAAAACGATAGCACAATTTTAATTCTAGAGATAGATGATAGTTATCTATTTCAGTTATTATTTATTTCTTATCAAAGCAGAAGGGATTTTACATATTTTACAAAACTGTTCGGTCGATTGTAAATGTTATTCCATTGAAAAATATTAACATTTTGTATATCTTAGAAAGAATTTTTATTATACATTTTCTTAAATTGATAAAATGAACCGACAAGAGTCTTCAATATATATAAATGCATTTCTCATAGGACGTGTCGTAACAGATCTTATCGGAACATTGATCCACATTTGAAGACCTCTATAACGCATTCGAGTCGTAACATATGTGTCTGTCTGTTAATTTACGAGAAAGTATCTATATCATTTTTCATGCTCCACTTAATTCTATTTTATTTTCTTTACAAAAAAAAAAAGAAAATATCTCAGGATTTGGACGTAATATTCTGATTGATAACAGATTTAGTTTGACATAAACCAATATATAGGAATTTTTAATTATAGAAAATGTCTGTTCTATTTTTATCATTAATTATTTCAACGGATATTTTTATGAACGACTAAACTTAGTTTAATTTGTTGCAAATGTTATTTGGTATCGATACAGATTCAATTTGAAATAAGTATGTCATAAAATAAAATTACAAAAATGTATTGACGTTCATCGCGATGCCTTTCACGCGGACTGATTGCTTTATTTCTTGTCGATTCCGATTCGCAACGCGAGTGTATCGTGTACGCGTCTACTCGCAGAGGGAACAATAGCTGATAAAAATAGGATGCGTTGAGTGTGGCAGGTAGATTGTCAGGAAAGGTAAAGAGAGAGAGAGAGAGAGAGATAGAAGATGGATGGAGGGAGAGGACAACTTCGGACTCATCCTCGAGTTACTTTCACTTGAACTTCTTGTATCGCCTCGTAGTGATCTTCTAGACGGTGGGAGCGAAGTTGTTATTGCTTTCCGCGTAATTCGAACCCGCGTATAATCTTTTAATAATTTTAAATTTTAATTAAGAAATGGCACTTTACTGGATTCTACAATCTTATCTTCTACGATGTGCACTATTCATCGTTATTGTCCGCACCGAAGAAGTTTTCGTAAGTAGTAAGAGCAAATGTTAGATCGGATTTGTTGTGATGATTTTGATGACATCAAAAACGAGGAAATGCCTATAATTTATACATTATATTAAATTATCTGAATTCTGTACAAATATGAATGAACGTCTTGAAGCTATGTATGATTCAATCACGATTGTTCGCCCACGCAGAATACCACGCCGTCGACGATCAAAACGAACTTTTCCTGTCTCAATCGACCTATGGGATTTTATGCTGACGTCGAAGCGAATTGCAAAATATATCATACATGCGACGATCACGGGAACAAATTCACTTATCGATGTCCCGAGGAGACGGCTTTTCGTCAAGACGCCCTGATATGCGATCACGCTCATCTCGTCGACTGCCAGGCGACTGTTTACCCGACTCAATTTCCAAACGAAAGCGTCGACAAGGAAATTACGTATACAGCGTCCCCGTCAAGGTCCCCGATCGACTCGCTCGACGATCATCGATTATCGTTTTCGCGTACCTTCCAAGTGATCAAACGGCCGGACAAATCCGTGCCTGACAAACCGCAATCCGGCTTCGTCTTTAGCGCGAGTCTATTCTTAAGGGATCAGGATCCGATGCAAAATCAGGCTAGGCAGATCGGCGACACCTGTACGATATGCAACGGTGATTCGAAGAACCGCGCGACGGTTCCCACCGCTCAAACGCTGACCAAACAATTCGATTCCTGGAACTCACGTAATCACGATAAATCCACCGCGCCAAGACTGTCCTTATCGTCGTCGTCGTCGTCGTCGTCGGGGACTCGCGACAGGAGTGCCGTGTATCTTAATCGATCATTCGAGCCGCCCTCGAATTCCGCGCCTGTGAAAACGATAGCTTCGGAAGAAAACCAGCATCCACCTCCTCTGCGCGAGAAGTCTCCCCCATTGAATTACAACAGTGATGACCTCCATCCATACTCGGAGACCTTAAGGTCGATTCAGGCTAGCGCTCGTATGACTTATCTAAAATCCACCACGGAAATTCCCGTGCACGCTTTGACACTTTCCCTGAAACCGCTGGTACCGAACGAGCTGGAGTACGATCCTTATTATCCGAAACAGCCGACGTCCACCGAGGCGTATTACACGCCCAGCAATCGCAATAAGTTTGATACAAATCGATTTTCCAGCTCGAGCCAGATACCGACGGTAATCACGCATCCCGATCTTCCCTTCGAAATCCCGTCTGTACTGCCCGATTTGAATACCCTGGAGGATTTGGTTGATCGCCGAAAGTTCTTCTACATTCCGCGCACAAACGCGAACTACAACGAGCCATTATTAAATATTTAATAACGGTCATATTTGTAATGTTACATGTTAAAAAGAATGTTAAGGTATCTTTTGTCTTTTGCGAAATAAAGGTACGTATCTTCACTTCTTATTCCTATTGGTGTGTACTATTTGCGAAAGTGTTTTAATAAACGTTGAAGATGGAACTCGAGGGCTTTAGAAGAATTCTTGTACTTGATGCGGATGGTACGCGCTTTGTTACTATGCTGAAAAAAGGCGATTAATGTTATGTAAATATATGTAACGATTTTAGTTTTATATAGAAAAGTAGTAGTAGTAATAATAATAATAATAATAATAATAATAATATGATCGTTCATGTTTTATCCGTATTACCTGTCTGTCGGGTTTTGATGCCAATATTCAATAAATGGTGCTAATAATTTTGTAGCAACTTGTTGAATGTTCTTTGTCGAACCTTGAAATATCTCGGTTAATGAAGCTATTATTCCATGTTCATTGTGATATTTTGCTTGTAAATATTGAATCGTTGTCGTAAGTCCTAAAAGTAACTATGTATAGTATTTCGTAGGAGTAATATGCTGAATGAAAAATCAACTATATGCTCTAAATTAAATTTCTCACCGGAGTGTGTAATGTTGATTGGCAACAATAATTGTTGCAAATCCCTCCTTTTATCCGATAAGCAGCGACATTTTTCTGTAAGACGTCGAATATATTCATTTTCTTGTTCAAAGAATTGAATACTTTCACGCAATTCCTCAATTTGCACTTGTAATTGCACAGTTTCCTCTTTCCAATGTTTGATACTTAAATCTTTTTTTAACTTCTGCATTTTTGTTTTTCTGACTTGTATGTCATTATGCATCCTGGAACGTACCACTTCTTTTGAATCTAAATAAAAACCTAATTCTTCGAGTTTACTGAAAAATACACGGAATGCATATTACTTTATCGCAATTATTTGTTTTAAAAGAGGTACTTTTAACTATGAATAATTTTTCTTTATACATCTTTAAACTATGTATAATTATGTAATTCACTTTATATAATACGTAATTTTTTAAACACTATATTTTGCAATGTAAATATTTATAATAACAAATATGTTCAAAATCGTAAAATTTTTATAAATTTTTGCTAGAGATACATATACTTATAAATTCGATAAAATTATTCTTTAATACTATATAAAGATGTAGAAAAATATATTTACGAATCATCTCTCGTAACTATTGTTATAAATAAACATAAAAATAATTTTTATCTGCGTCATTAAAATTTAATTTTTATCAGAGTTACAGTTTATTTAAAAAAAAACTCATGCAATGTTTTCATTTAATTTAAGATTGAGAAAATAAAAATTATACATTTATATTGTACGTTTTAATAAGTTTATCTTTTAATGTAGACAATGATTTATTAATAGAAACTTCGCTTTCGGTTTCATCTCTCACAAGCAATCCACACGCGCATGGACAAAGCTGAAAACAACATAGTACAATTAATTACATTTGTAAAATAAAAATAAAAAAAAGTAAAATATTTTTAGATAAATATTAAGATAGATAATATATTGAAAAACTGCTATTAATATTAATATTAATATTAATATACTCTATTTAAAAAAAAAAATATTAAATCAAAGATTTTAAATCGGAAATATTTGTTCTTTGTCAGTTGAAAAGTTATTCTCGAACAATCTTCTTCATATTAATAATAATTCATCGTAAATTTGAATTACTTGAGCAAGTGTTGATGCATCTTGAGTGGATGAAGTTTTAGGCGATATATATGCCTTTCTCGAACTTTGTTGTTTTGATGATCCATTGATGTTATGTTCGTATTTACTAGCTATTTTACATAAATAGTGAATAAGTAAATACTACTTATTTTTTCATTTTTTAAATAACACTTTTCTATTGATCAATCAGTTTTTGTAAAGTTCAAAAGCAATAGTCACGTCCTTATATAAAGAAAATAAAATCTATTTTGTTTTTTTACTCACTCATATATCCCAGCGATTGATTTGCTTTGTCATATTTTTGTTGAGATTCGTCTTGATGTGTTTGCCATTTAGATCTGTCGGAAGAAATTCCGGGTGATATGAACAATAATTTCGATCTTACTTCACTCTCACTTGTGTCAATTGGTTGGATATTTGGGAAAATTTTCTTTTGTCCCTTTGTTGGTACATCAACGCTCTTACTTTCTTTGGGAAGAGTATAATCACAGACACGTCTAGAAATAATAAAATTATCACAATTTTACTCGGTAGACAAAGAAACTTCATAATCATTATTTTTCTTTCTTTATCGTATTGCCTTAATTCTTCCGAGGAACCTTTCAGATGAAGCGCAACGCCACAGAGTGCACAAATCGAGGAGGAAGTCGCGATTAATCCAGATCCAGGACTACGTGGCTAATGAAACTTACTTAGTGTTCAATTACTTCCGACCATTCTTTACTTTACCAATCACGCAGCAGAAATAAATTCAGGGATAAAAGTTTCATTACTTGATTACTCCTCTCGTATTGTCTTGACTCGAGATAGCGCACAGAAGAATCTGTATTTCTCTTCCGTCGGTCCTCTATATTGATTGCGATTAATTGTGCCAATTTTAACGCAGCTTCCTTGATTGCTTGCAATAAATCATGGAGCGTCGTGATCTGTTAGTAGTTTTTTATTTCCCTCTAATGTGGACTCAAGTAAAGTAATTATCCGCACGCACGTACATGTACATTAGAGAGTTCAATAGATTGAACAGCGCGTTGAAATTATTTTTTTAATTGTAAAATTACATTGCGATAAAAAATAAAAAATGCATGCTTTCTATCAGACCCAACATGAATTTGTAATATTTTTGTCATCTCTTTAACAGCAATAATTATTAAACAAACAAAGTTTAATTGATTATAGAATTATCATCTCAAATATATGTAAAAAGGCGTACAAAATTATTTTAAACAATTAAAGTTAAAAAAAATTTATTAAGAAAAATCTATTAAGATATTTTTTTATTGTAATATCGAGTATTCGCGCATATGCAAGAGAATGTTACCTACTTGCTGATCATCGCTATCAGGTATGGGGGAATGATAAGGTCTTCCAAATTTCTTGCAAAAGCGATACGCAGGGCAAATGGGTTGTGAATGCGTGTCTGACGCTAAATCCCGACTCATCAGCATGATACCTTGTTTCGTTGGAATCGCGATAGTAAAAGGCTGATGTTTCGCAACATCTTTCGCATCGTCTATCGTTCCCATTGCAATTTAATTAAGAAAGAAAGAAAGAAATAAAAAAATTTGGATTTAATCTGGAGTAATAGCGGCGCGATGGCAACACATATGATCCCGATAATATTGTGCCATTTTTCATTTCATATCGCCATGTCACTTTTCATTTCATTATTTCATATCACCATGTCACTTTTGATGCCGATTCCGATTTTCGGATTTCAATTCTGGCATCAATGCAACTTGAAGCTTGACGATTCTCTCTTTTTGATGTTAATGGAAAGTTTCACGACGTTTGTAGTTATGTTCGTCTGGTAACCTAATTTTAACTTGTCAAAATTTTTTGTGGATGATGGCCGATTTCTCGAGAACGTCAATAGCTACAAATATCAATGCGGACAGCCCTGCAGATAAAACCGATGTTAATGAAGTGAGTTATTGGAAGCAAATGCTGAAAGCCTATGAGAGAAGGAACGCTTCGTTGGAAAGAAGGCACAGCGTACTCGCCGAGAGAGTTCGTTTTATGGAATGCACATTACCATCCTTGCTGATGGGCGCCGCAGCATCTGCCGCCTACGGCAAACGAGGGGCTCATGATAAACAGGCGAAAGCCCCCGAGAACACATCTAAATCCACTTAGGAAACATAGCTACAGAGTGCACACAAGCAACAAGTAAATAGCACTCAGATAGCCAAGTCTGTCGAAGATTTTGCAAAATAGATTTTGCAAAATCTTTACTGAAACTTTTTATCGGCAGAATATCAGGAGAAACGTAATAGGATTTGCTAACAAAATATATAATGGTAGAAGAAGAATATATTAAAAACAAATAAAATTTTCTTATAAAACGCGGAGGCTGTATAGAAGTATATGCATAAAAAGTACAATTTACGTGTATGCGTGTAATATGCTGCATGCATATTACAATAATGACACAGGAAAAATCTCACATTATTTCTATTTGGTCTTTGTAACGTTTGTTCATATTCTATTATTATTCCAAAGATACAATCTTGATATTCATGACACATCCTGCATATATAAGTATTCACTTATACGCTCATCTATATATTTGAATAGTTTCTTCTATAAAAATAAAAGCAAAATTTTGAACTTAGTAGTCCTTTAATAGTGCAATTTAGTAATAGAAGAAGTGAGGAACAGATAGACAATTTTTTTCGAGATTACGTTTTTTTATACATATGAGGAATAAAGTCAATTCTCTCTCTCTCTCTCTCTCTCTCTCTCTCTCTTTCTCCCTCTCTTTCTCTCTCTCTAAAATATATTTGAATAAGACATTATTAATCATAGCGATTGATCAGGCTTTATTAAATCGTTTTCGTTTCGAAAATGTATACAGCATAAATAATACAGTAAGCGTTTGAATATACACACTTTTTGCGGAAGATACTAAATCTACCATCACTCGAAGTCAATATGCATGCTAAAGCACGTTCGATGCGTTCAACAAAAAGTAGGACTAGAAACACATTGTTTATATTCTAATACACATATTAATAAACATTAAATGCTGAAGCATGTATGTGTATACATATATACTTTTTGATATAAAGACACACGCAAGTTTAGCTTAATTCCGTTAAGATTTTCATCGAGAGATTATACTACAACGAAAAGCAATTATTTCGGTTCAAGTTTCAGTATATAATTTTATTATATATTTTATATACCGTGTAAAATCAGTATGTAAAGATTTAAAAAGAAAAATTCTAAAAAAAGATATCAGAATGAATCAATTCGTTGAGGAATTTATATATTCCCTATGATATGCATATATTATTTTCTTATAATTATTCAAACAACTCTTCATGCAATGTATTATGATGGAAATATAGCAGAATCTCCAATAATTACATGTAGACACTGTAGAATCTTTGTTCTCAGTGCAAATGACAGCGCACAGACATGCCTTTGTTGATCGCTGAATGCATAGTAATATATCACGAATCACGTGCTAATTTGTTATACACATGCGACATGTGACATTACAAGTTAGTTTACACGCGCGCAACCTTTTCTTTGTCATTTTAAATTTAAATTTACATTAAAATGCGAATTTAAATTTTAATAAGACTTTACTAGGTATTCAGAGATACGTTTAATACGTTTCTCGGTCACAAGGACATGTCCGCTTAGCATAGTCGCTTTTATTCTGATTTTTTTCTGGAAAGTCATATCGTTCTCTCTTAAAAAAGATATATCAATTGCAAATGTTCTTTTTCAATCAAAAATTTCTTTCATCATCAAAATTACGATGCAATTATTTTGTAATAACTATCACTGTCATAACTATTACAAGGGAATTGTTATAATTTATTATTTTGCGATAATGCTTTATATAATTTATACGCTCGCGTATGATATTTAATCTACGGCTTATTTGGCACTTGATTTCACAGCTTGTACGAAAAGATTGGTCGTGATGTGGGGAGGTGAAGTACGCCAAACCGAGGGGTTCAGGGGTTGGCACTCGATCCGCAGGCGTCCTCGTTTACTTTCAGGACGTACCATTTCTGATCGTTACTTGGGCACACCAAGCAGCGCCAGCCGTATTGTCCTGTAAAGATAATTCACTGAAGATATTAAGAATTATAAGAATGAGTTGTTACTCGTTACTTAAAATCAAGGAGGATCTCAGATTAAGACGGGGCCAATAGGATCAGTTGCAGATAACAAAATTAATCGATCACCGTATATATCATGTCTTTATATGATACTTTCGTGTGTTCTTTACTTTACTTGTGAATGTAGTTAATTAAATGTACGCGGACAATAAACCCATGTCTACAAATAAAGCTCTGCTCATATTTTTAAAAACACCGAGGAAGCTTATTACGATTTGACTTGCTCATTAATATTAATGAGTATTTAGAAACGTTATCCTACCTCGTTTGTGCCGCGGTTTCACCCACGGGTTCATTGACTCATCCGTGGGTTGGAACTCGTGAGTTGATAGACGAAAATTTGATGGACGGAGTTTGCGGCGACGAGAGACGACAGAGAACCTCTTCGCCTTTATCTCCAGCGAAAATAGATCACCTGCATAAAGAATACCCACATGATGAAGGATTTATATCACGTTTCCCTATACAGCACAAAAATTTTCAACTACGCTACAGTAACATTGTAATCTTGTAAATTGCAATACGAAAATACAGAAACATTGTAGAGGCACATGCAATTGCAGAATTTTAATAATTCCTAGCGATATTCGTTGCAATCTTGCAGTAAAATATTTTTGGAATGTTTCTGTAATTTTCTTGTATTGTATGAGACTTTATTTTTTTTCACTACTAATAATCGCGTATTGTTAAATATAAATATTATATAAAAAATGTTCGTAATCGCTCAAACGTAACGAAAAAGTGAAATGATATCACTAAACTTCAATACATATTCTTTTGTTGAAGATAATAAAGCGATGCGATTTTATTCTAAGCTGATACTCGCTATCGATATTGGCTGCGTTCAGCAGAGAAAATAGATCAGTGAACGCTCAGTTATTTTTCAATATGATTGCCTTTAGATCTTCGTTGAATGTAAGAAACGAATCATAATAAAGAATCACTGAACGCTCACTGATCTGCTTTCTCTGCTAAACGCAGCCATTAATTTTTTACGATATGTCCATGCTACAGCGATTAAACTCTATGAGACAGATGAAGAAAATAGGAGAAGAGAAGCATAATCATTACCATCACCAACTGGCATCAAGCGCATAATGTATATTGTGACTACGCCATGTAGGCGGAAATGTTCTACAAAGTGCTTCTACAGTTCAAATAGTTAGTATACTTTGAACAACTCGGTAAATACTTTCTAATCAAAATACAAAAAAATATAAAAAATATACACATATAAAATGTGACAATTTTTACTTAAGAATGTATGTGATTATTATTGCGATCATTTAAATATTAAATATTAATATCATAGATATAGCCATAAAAAAATAATTGTTGCGCC